CTCTCTCTCTCTCTCTCTCTCTCTCTCTCTCTCTCTCTCTCTCTCTCTCTCTCTCTCTCTCTCTCTCTCTCACTGGCGCCCAGCGCTGAAGACTACTGTTGTCGCTACTCCTCCAGAGCGCCGCCACCGAGTCTTGAAGGCTACCTCCTGCCTTCTGCACGTGAAGTGCTTAGGAACTGCCTGCAGCCTACAGGGCGGGTCAGCATTATACGGTGCTGGCCCGTCCGAGAGGCTGCTCATGCCTATGCCAAAACGTGCCAGACCCTGGGGTTGACGCTCCACAAAACAGGCCATGATGGCCTGAACTAAAACCCCGGTCTGGTGCCCGAGTTTCAGGGTAGGTCAATCTTGCGAGGACCTGAAAAATGGCCCGTCGTTTTCAGGCTGGAAGCCGAAACGACAGAGGGCCTGAAACAGGCCCTACCCCTACGGACCCTTAGTCTACCAGGTCGGGCTCTGCTGGGCCCGTGTGGTACGGAGTATGCCACACTCCCCCCTCCTTGAAAGACTGAGCTTACCTGCGAGGTTGAAGCTGTCTGGTGGAGGGAGGGACTGAAGTCCGGGTGGGAGGTTGTGCAGCTTCCGTCGCTAGCCATTTCTTCTCATAATGAGCATAGATGTCAGGAGCGGAGGCTCGCAAAGCTGCCCGGGAAATCCATTGCATGTCATCGGGGTCGCACCACGTGAATATGACTTTGTACTACATAGGCTTGTTGTCGTGCTTGCGATGCGTGATGACGAGGTCGACTTCCTGATGACCATCCATGGAAGGAGGGTCCTGTGATCGTCGTCCCGAGAAGTCGTCGCTCTTGGCTGGTGTGTATGTGGCCAGCTTGGAGGCGTGGAAAACCGGGTGCACTGTGAGGTGTGGCGAGATTTCGATCACAAATGAAGGGCCATCGGGCTCATCACCCGCGGCTGATGTGATGGGCCATGGTCCAAACCACTTTGGAAGTAGCTTGCGGGATACATCCTGCTCGAGTGCAAACTCTTCGGTGGAGACCCAAACAAGGTCGCCGACGCGGATGGGGCATGGCATGCGACGCCTGTTAGCTTGTTGTAGGACTTGAGCCTTTTGCATGTTGGCGCGGGCTTTAGCCAGCAAGTCCCTATACTTCCGAACGGAGGCGGGCGAACAAGCGGTGTCAATGTCGGCAGTCCTTGGAAAAGGAAGATCAGCGAAGATGCGGCCTTTCCGACCACCGTGGTGTAACTCGAACGGAGTCACGCCGATCGCCGGGTGCACCGAAGTGTTGTAGGCGATCTCGATGTCGGGGAGGCGATCCACCGAATCCTTCTGATCCGTACGGATGAGTGTGCGAAGCATTACTTGAGCGGTTTGATGTGCCCGCTCCGTCTGCCCGTCCGTTTGCGGATGCCGAGCCGAACTTGGTTTCATCTCCTTGTCGGACTCTTTCATGAAAGAGGTCCAAAATGCCGACATGAACCGAGTGTCGTGGTCGCTGACGATGTCTTCCGGAACGTCGTGGCCGCAAATCCAGCCGGTGTGTAGGAGGCGTGCAAGTTCCGGAGCCGTGGCATGGTACTTGCAAGGAAGAAATTGTCCGTACTTGCTCAAACGGTCAACGACCGTGAGAATGCCGTCGTGCCCGAAGCGGTCCCGGGGGAACGGGCCTGTGACGTCCATGGCAATGGAGAGGCCGGGTTCCCGTGGAATAGGCAACGGGCGTAACTCACCGTAGGGGTTGCGATTGCGGGGTTTGCTTCGTCGACAAACTTCGCAAGAGTCGCAATACCGAGTGACGTCGGTGAGGTCGGGCCACCGGAATCGCTGCCAAAGTCTTGTGGTTGTACGGTTGACTCCGAGGTGGCCGGCGAGTCTCGAGTCGTGGTACTCACCGAGGAGACGAGTCCGTAAGTGACGGTCGTGTGGGATGCATAGTATGTCCTTGCCTCGTGAGTGAAGCAGCAGGTAGCCATCGACAAAGCGATAATGGCTGGCCGGCGGGTGATGCGCAATGATCTGATCTTCGCGAGAGAGCATCCGCGGCTCGGTTGGAGAGGCCCGGGATATGTTTCGGTGTGAAGTCGAACTGATCGATGAAGTACATCCACCGAGCAATCATGTTGTTCACCGTGTCTTGCGTCTTGTAGTAGGTCAATGGGTTATTATCCGTCACCCAAGTGAACCTACGATGCCCGAGAAGGAAGTGTCGCCAACGCTTGAGTACCGTGACGAACGCGAACAACTCCTTCCACGCTGTAGCACTTTTTCCCAGTGGGGCCTCTTCGGGCGACCAGGAAGCCAACAGGCTGTCACATAGGATTTTGCAGATTTGTGCAATAAATAAAATAAATTAATTAAAGCAAATCCCTTCCTGTTGTGTGCGTCCGTCTTCGAGCGAGACCCTTCAATTGCGATCTTCGCGGTCCCCGGCCTTAGGAATCTTTTATTTTGATTCGGAACAGTGGAGAATTATGCAAATAATAATCATGGAATGCTGGTATGTCATGCATGCATCAATTTTGTCGGCCTACTAATTTTGAGAACTATGACAGAATCACCAAAGAGTACAGCCATCAAGCAAAACAACAATGCAAGAAGCAAGACTGACTGACTCGAGCAATGACAAAGCTCAATGAGGGAAGAATGAGAACTCAAAATAGTCTCAGAAAGTACATATGGAAGAGAGCATGACCAGCACCAAATCAAGAGTCCTCACTCATTTCTCTGAACCTCACACTCAATCTCTCATTTTGATGTCTGTCGTTTGGGCTTCTTGCCATGTCTCCGTACTCTCTGAGTCTGTGGCCTCTGAATGTAGAGCCACCTGAAGCCTGCTAGTTCCGAACACTTCCATCCAAGGTACATGACCCGAAAATCAATCATGGAGCAGAACTCTTCCCATAGTATAGGTAGGTAGGGTCTAGAGAAAATCCCTCGTCTGAGATGCAGGAACTCTGAGGGCTCTGTCACTGCCTCGTAATCGATCACTGCAGGAGAGATGTACCTCTTGGCCAAATCGATCAAGTCACCCCAGTGAAAGTCGTCTATCAGAGTGAAAGGTACCGGGGGTCTGGGATAGTATGAGTAGAGCTTTGGTCCGAAGCTGCGGATCAGCTTAGTACCACTCTCGTCGAGTTGTCTCTCTCTCTCTTCCAGGTATCCGGCCGCTGCGGTCCAGACTGAGTCAAAATGCTCATGAGTCTCCTTGCCTTTCCTCAAGTAGGGCCTCAAATCATGGACAACACCCCTGGCGAACTCAGTGTGAACCACATAGATGGATAGGTCTCCCTGCCTGAAGCCGATTGCACTGACATACTGATGCTGAAAGGAGTCCCTAGAAGCAACTTGATTGAGGCTAGAGAGAACAGCCTCAGGAACAGGGAGCGACTGTACTGTACTCATGTGGTGAAATGGGTGCCAAGACTGGTGAGTCTATTGATAGAAACCCAATCTGGCTAGTGTTGACTGAATGCTGATTAAATTCTGATTGATTGCTGGTTGATTGCTGATTGAGAACTGGATGTTGCTGAGTGTCGAAAACAAGCACAATTTTCTCTGAGTAGGGAAACTACCTGAACAGAACTGGCCTTTAGGACAAGACAAGAAAAAAAAAACTAATTACCATTTGATTCTGACTGGTAATCCCATGTAACTTGGATGAATGAGCATTGTTGAGAGCAGGTTGAATGTTACTTGAGAGCTGCTTGGACGATGTTTGAATTACTGTCACCAATTAAACACTGAGATACTGATCCGCCAATTATTGTTCACTGGGCGCGGAAATAACGAGAAAGTTATGAGTCAAGAAGAGGTACTTGCTGACTGAGAGTTGGCTGATCTGTGTCGTCACAAAAATAAAATGATGACACTTTCACTGCCGACTTTTTGACGCTCTCTCTGGCCTGTTTTAACTGTCTCAATTAGCGGTGAGTCATACTGGTTACTTCTTCCCTCAACTTTTGACAATGCACTGAGTACTTAGTTAGCAGTTTGTCCATTGATAACGCTGAGTGCGCACTCCCTCATCTGACAGCCGAGGGGTGCTGAGACTAGGAGATCAAGATGAACTGAGCTACGACCACTATGATAGACCCATTACAAATCACTGACAACTCCTTTTGCTCGATCAATAGTCTCAAGTGATGAGAACGTGCTGTGTAATTTTCCACCAAACCCGTAGAAGTATATGACGTACTGAATGAGCTCCTGGGCTTTTACTATTCTCAATGCCTGTTTTCTCACTAATCTTATGCAACCCTGGACGTTATCAACGACATTCGCTTCCCAACCTTCCACTTTCTCCTGGTAAAGAGTACATGAGACCGAGAGAGAGCCTTTACCTACCATTTCTCTCACCCTTAGTTGCTCTGCCCTCAGACCCTGCAGATTAGAGTAGGATAGTACTCGTCCTCAGCCCTCTGGGCCTCGGGGTAGACTTCCCCAACTTACCCCAAACTGTCACGAGTGACTGTTTTCAATATAGTTGATCCTTTGCCAGTCCCTCGGTGCAGGCAACTTATTGATTAGATTTTCACTACTAAGCCCCACTGAATATAACAGTGCGTGCCCTTGCACGTTGCTAAACAGAGCTGGGTTTTTTGGTAATCGACTGAGTAAACGAGTAGCAGACGGATGGGCAGGGTAAATATGGAAATTTTACACGAGCATTCTTTAGTTAATTTCCAGCAAGTACGAGCAATTACTGGGCACCCGTTTTCCTAGACCGAGTTGACGAGTTGACACTGGCGCTGGTTTATCTCGTAATGCCACGAATGATATCGATCCTGGTCCCTTTTCCCATTCATAGCGCGGCGAAAACCGAAAGTGTCACTAGACCTTGTCACGTGCAGTCATTATATGCTGACAGAAATAATCGCAACCTTGAGTGGAATTCAACAAAAACTGGAGAACCTTGATCGTCACCCAACTCATGCATAGCGCAGGGGTTTTGCTAAACGGCTTCTATCTGTGTACTGTGCGGGAGGCTGACAGGTCGACCTGTTACCCATGCACTATACATGACAGGACCCAAAGGTCGTTAATAATGAGGAACATTTTTAGGGGTCCATTCAGAAAGGGGTTCTAAGCCTCGTGAAAGTTACAAACCACTTGTCAATAGCAGTCTGTCTGTCCAACTAGTAAAGTCTTGGTACTCGTTCCCCCTTCCACTATGATTCTGTGCTGACGAAAGCTTTCATATATACAAACATATACGTATATGTATATGCACTTATATATGCGTAAGGGAATGAGTCCTGTTCACTCTCTTCTTTTCTCAGCATGGCAATGATTGGCCGGTTCAAATCACTTATGAATCAATATTGTCCAAACAACCAATCAATCACCGTCGAGGAGGAACTTAACGAGGAGGTAAGCAATTCTCTTCAGTGACACTCTCTTTTCCCCCATCGATCAGAGAAGAGAAGTGAAATCATTAGAGCACTCTTGTACATCTCGCCTCAAACAGTGAGCCTACCAATGATTTGAACATCATCGAGTTGAGATTTTGCCAATTCCGCTGGTGGATAGTCAAGGCTCATTTAGCCGAGCTATGGCATATTCTACCATTGCTGGTGCTTATTGTGGGACTTCAACAAAACTGACCGGGCCAGCTTACCAGGCTGGCAGAATCATAACTTACGCACAGAATGCCCCTCAAATTGGGTTATAGAATTTAGCGAGCAATCAACTCCAGTTAAGCATAAACAAGGCAAGTGGAGAAATCCGATAAATAACAGCAAAAGAAGGTCAGACCCCTTATTTGCATCAGTTATATCCTTCTCCACATCATCCGTTGAACCCCCTTCATTGCCAAAGCTTCACAACCTTTCGTTCGCCGCTGTAACAGTCATTGGCTGAATTGAGTACGACACGAAACGGACCAGAAACTAGTTCGATCAATTCGGTTGCTCTCCAACTTAACTCGGGTTCGAAGATCCAGCTGACAAAGGCATTCACGTTCTAGGTAGTCTCCACGATCCATCACTTAGATCTCGGCCAACCAGAGTCAGGCTCTCTCCTCCCTCTCGTGCCTCAGAAACTATGAAGGAGATAGGAGCCAATCGCCCAGAGCACGCTTGCCTCTAACACTTCTTCTAACGGGATAATCTCACTTCCTATAGCGTTTTTTTTTCTCATGTTTGACGCTCGCCTCTCGCGCCCGAGGCTCGACTACCCCTTACCAGATAAGGAGAACAATACAGCTCACTGAAACTAATGACATAGATGAGGCGGGAAAAACACCAGTTCGAGCAGCGATTCCCCTCGCAGACCATGCACACACTCATTGAGCACTCCCGAGCCCATGCCACTTTTGGCCTGTAAGCCCTCTGCAAACTCTGCTCCTATGCTGATCGCGCTACGGTCGGATACCCGCCAAATTTCCCATGTGCAGGCAGCGCGTTGCATCCCAACCATCTGCTCATGGCTACTTCACTGCAACATAATTAGTACCTTATGAGGACTGCGAGCATGACTCAAAAGAGATTACTATTGACATCAACCAAGAAACCTCGCGTGCGCTCCGCCAAGGGCGCATACTCCGTCTTCCAACACCAGGGCAAGAAGCGACCCAGACTGCCGAGGAAATTGAATGGGAGACACACCATGATCTTCCTTCATCATGCCTCCTGTCAGCTAACTAGTACCTGAAGCTGTCTGATGAGCTGATAGTCGTCACAGAGCAAAATGCTAGCCGAATGAGTTCAACAAAAGCTTCCGAACAGATCAGTTAATCACTCGTGCTTTCTCTTTGCCCAATAGAGTCTAGTCAGACCGCTTCTCCCCGTACACTGCACTACGCCATCTCCATGACTCCCCCCCATCTGTTCGCTCGAGAAGACTGCTATGCTGGCTACTCACTTACTCGAGACAGCGCCCCCATTATTGCACGTGATATGACCAGGCGTTACTCATTCGAGAGGGGGGGGGAAGAATAATGTCAACTCTCTTCTGAAGGGCTCGTCCCGCCGATGCTCTTGCCCCTCTGCGTGAACATGCCACGCGTAGACTGAGTATACTAGTCACAACCTCGTGCTCTGTCCCGCTCTCTACGAGCCCACTTGTTTTGCACTTCTCCCAAGAAAAGCAGTAGGCCCACGCTCCATGCTCGTGCATGGCCAGCTGTTTGACGTCAACCGCTTCTCCCACGCACTCGTCCACACGTGTTGACTTTTTCGCGCCTTCTCTCTCACTCACCGCTTGTTACGATCACACACACCTCCTTCCTTTGCCTCCCCGCCTTTTCTGTCCCACGCCCTCTGGAACTCTACTGTCGCGAGAGGGCCTCAGGCCTGCCTTCCACAGGTTGTGCTTGAGGGTGGTTCTTGCGAACCTGGTCCGGCCTGTTCCAAGACTGAAGATCGGTCTCCCAGTCACTAGCCTCGATCTCCGCCTCTGAGTCACGGTCCAGGTGCCGTTGCTCTCGCTCCACGGTGTCCGTCGAGGTTTCAACCTCGTGGTAAGTAATGGTCACCCGAACCTCAGTCGTGACCCCATCCCTCTGCATCGTTCTCTTAGCCCGGTTCTTAGATTCCATGACGGCCAACCGCAGTCTCTGGTCCCCCTTCATTTTCTCCTCTCTCACTCCCTCTACAGTAACCTTTAGACTCGCCTCATCTCCCCCGCTGTAACTTCTTCGCCAGACCTAGGAGACGAGCGAGTAGTGTACTTCCAGTAATCCGGCCAGTAGCCGTGCAGGCCATTGCTGTGTGCCATAGCCAGGCTATCAGCAGACGCGGCGCAGTACCAGGCTGCTATCCCAGCACAAAGTGCCACTTAGCGCAGACTAAACACTACCCGACCGGTAGCGTGCTACGCCCCCTTTTCTCAGAGAAACAAGAGCATGCCCCTTATTCGCAGGCCTCTCCTCTCTTCCTTTATAGAATCGCTGTTTGCCAAGATCCCCACACTCTCAATGAAGGACCCAAACTAGTTCCTTTTAAACCTTTTTAAATTAAAGAAACTTAAAAAAAAAAATTATAGATAATGAAATAAATTAGAATTAAGTGATTTTGGAAACGCTCAAGTCTATAACCCAGCGGTCGGGCGCGGTCTAAACCTCACGCCACCATCAGTCCCAGATCTCAGTGACATGACCGCGGATTCGACACTGTGGTCCCATAACGAGATATCGACAACCGCTCTTGCCTCTTCAAAATGAACCGGCGACCTATCTCTATCGGGTACCCGTGTCCGATGGCAAGGAGGGGGCTTATGACTCTCCATGGGGGGTGATAGGCCTCCTACCGATGCGGCTGCGGGTCGCCCCTCTTTTGGGGTCCTATTGTGCGGCACTCAGTCGGCCAAATCAGACGCAGTGCGATACATGAAGGGTCGGGCTAGCCTGGGCCACTCGAAGTATTAAACAAATTTCGAAATTCGAACCGTTCAGCTTACCGCGAAGTGACAAAAGGAAGATTTTATTTAAAGGGGGATCAACAATAGTTTTAATGATAATATAATAATAATAGTGATAGCAGTAATAAAAATAGTAGTGAGAGAAATTCATAACGCCGCAGCGGCCAAAACCGCTGAATTACCTCGAACTAAAGCCTAAGGTCCAAATCGACCACAGACTCGACGCATTGATTCCCTTCATTTTATTTTATTCTTCTTTCCCTTTTGTTGAACTGCTACCCCTGACCCATAACCTGCCAAAAAGGGTGCTCGGCGCGCAGTAGAAAAGACCGCCCTGGCCTCTTCACTTTCGCGTCCCAGGGCGAGCCCGATGGCTACCACGGCCACATGCCGGTAGTGCTCTGCTGTACAGCAGGGCGCCGAGCCTGCGTGGACCAATGGAAAGCCCTGCGGCGCACCCCTTTTGCTGGGGTGGGCACCAACAGGATCGGTCTGCATCAGGGCACCACTCTTGTATCTCAGCGTAGTTGCGGAGATTCGGTAACGGCTTAATGAGCCGCGACATCAGAGCAAGGATCTGGTATCAAGTAGGGACATGGTACAGAGAGGAGGGCGGGGACACCGCGCCCTCCGACAACGCGTCATCAACCGAGTTGATGGAGGCACCTTTTGGCTGAAGTATTCAACCGGGTGCCAATCTACTCCGACGTGTTGTTCCAAAACTGCACCCATGCCGTAGCCGGAAGCGTCCGTAGTCACTCTCCTAGGCAAGGTCGGATCGTAGATACTCAAGACAGGAGCGAGGAGCAACGCCGTCTTCAATTTGTGGAACGAACTGCGAACTTTATCGATGAAGTGGAAGGGCACGTGTGGAGACTGCAATCTTGACAAGGGTGCGGCGATCCGTGCGTATCCGCCGATGAAGCATTGGTAGTACCCGACCAATCCCATAAAGGAGCGAACGTCCATGGTGTTGGTCGGTTCCGACCAATCCTGAATGGCCTTGACCTTGTCGGCAAGTGGACTGATGCCTTGCGGCGTCACAAAGTGGCCCAAGTACTCGAGCTCTTACTGTGCGAATTCACAGTTGGCTCGGTTGGCCTTGTACTTGGCCGTACGAAGCCTGTCCAAAACAACACGTAGATGCACGATGTGCTCGTCCAAAGTTCGGCTATACACCAAGATGTTATCGAGGTAGATGAGCACGAAGCGGTCCAACATGTCGCGAAACTCCGTTGTAATTGCCGCTTGGAAGGTGGCCGGGGCATTCGTGAGGCCGAATGGCATTACGACCCACTCGAAGTGCCCGTACCGTGTCTTGGACGCGGTTTTGTACCTATCTCTTGGATGGATCTTGAGCTGGTGGTAATCGGATTTGAGGTCCAACTTGGAGAAATACTTGGCGCCGCCCAAGCGTTCGAGAAGATCGTCGATCCATGGAAGCGAGCCGACATTCTTAATGGTTTGAGCATTAAGCTTGCGATAGTCAATGCATAAGCGTAGCTCCTTGTTCTTCTTCCGAACGAAGGGAACAGGTGCACCGTAGGGCGAGTTGCTAGTGCGAATCCAGCCCTTGTCAATGAGGTCATCGAGTTGCGTTCGAAGCACTTCGAGTTCCTCCTCGCTCATGCAGTAAATACATCCGCGCGAAGGTACGGCCCCGTCTTCGAGGATGATCTCGTGACGAATTGGCCGATTCGGTACAATTCCGGCGGGGGCTTCAAAGACGTCGCCATAGGAGTCAAGAAGTTGTACAATGCGTGGATTCGGTGGCTGTTCCGCCGTTGGCTCGTTGGGAGGAGGGAGGGCGTGCAAGAAACAAATGCCCATTTCCTCCACGTCGGTCCGTGCCATGGAGTTGCGAATGCTTGTCGTGGAGACCACGTGACAACCAATCGAAGGATGAGGTGGGGGGACCGTACATGGCACAAGTACCCTGTTCCGGTCACGAACGTGAACGGTGCGGCGGTAGAAGTTCACCGGGTGGTCCTCGCTGCGCAGCCATGACATGCCCAAAATCATGTCGAACTTTGTCAAAGGACACGGCCTCACGCGCAAGCGGGGCGAAGTACACGGGGACAAAGTCAATGCACCGTTCAATGGACTTGTGCGTACGACCGTCGGCCAATGTGACTTGCGTGAGCTGCAATTTCCTTCGAACATGCGTCCCAAGGCCGGCGTAGGTCATGAAATCCTGGCTGATGTAGTTGCGAGTAGCTCCACAATCAATCAAGGCGCTGCAGGTCGCCTTCCCGATCTGAATGCAGACGTAGAGTAACGGTGCGTCAGTGTCGTCGTACCGTTGCGTGGCGTACTCGCGGTCAATCTTCGCAATGTACTCGCGAAGGTCAACAACCGCTACTCCGTCTTCCATCAACGGAGCTGGTACTGCAGCGTGCAAGTAGTTGCGTAACTCCGCCATTAGGGCGTTGCAATGCGACTTCGGCAAGGAACCAGATGGGGGAAGAGGCAACCATTGGAAGTCCTCCGGTGTCAATGGGTCGAGTTCCTCAAGTCTAGACCACACCGACGAGTCCCCGAGCGACGTTGGCGAGGATGCTGGTTCGCTTGGCGATGGTGATGAAGTCGCGCACGCATAAGACTCTTGCACGTGTTGAGGTTGGTCCAACGGCGGGACCAGCTGGACAGCATAGTCTTCATAATCTTCGCGAAGAATGGCGACATACGCATGTTCCCTGGACGTGGAGGAGGTTGTTAGCAAGGCAATCGTGTCCGGCGGAGTAGGAAGTGGAATCGCCTCACTTCCAGCGAGGCTCAGTTTCTCGAGCTTTGCCGTAGACGGACATCTTCTTTGCTTTTGTCAAGGAATTGCGATGTCGTATGCTTGGTGTTGTTGCAGCAGTAGCAGCAGTTCCACCTCTGGCGGAGTTTGTATTGCTCCTCCGTGAGGCTGAACTTTTTCCATGGCTCATTCGGTTGTCCGGCTTCCGTTGTTGACGCAGATTTCGCCTTCTTCTTCTTCTTCTTCTTCTTGCGTCGTGGCGGAAGGGCGTTGACTCCGTCTCCTTCACTAGACTCGTGAGTCATCGCCTGGTCGTTCTCTTGTCCATTTCCTTGGACAGTAGCGACTTGCTGCGGCCGCGGGCCTTTGCCCTTTTCCACAAAAGTCGGTTGGCTTCGCCGTTCGTTGGCTGCCCACCGATTGGTTTGGATGACTTGGCGCGCCTTCTCCACGATCTGGTCGAAGTCCGTGTACAGGCTGCGCTCCCCAAGGGCCGTGCTCAATGCGTCAACTGACCGCTGGAAGAATTCGCGACGAAGATGTACGAATGCGATGTCCAAATTCGGAATTGTCACGATTTTCTGCCACTCGGTTAGCCATTCACGTGTTGGCTGGCTGCCTTGATGCATGTTGAAGATCCGGTTCACGCCTTTGCGTTGAGCGTCGTCGACGATGAAGCGTTTCCGCCACTTCTCAGTCATGGCCTCCCAAGTGATCTTGGTGTGAAGCTTAGAGACTTCGACGCCCTCGGTTTGAGCCAGGTGGTTGAGCCACACTTGGCTGGGACCGGTGCTGCAGAGGTAAAGTGCTGAGATCTTCGACTCGGGCGGGACCAAGTGGATGGAGAGCTCATTGGTGAACACTTGCCACCAACTGATGGGGTCCGCCTTGTGGTAGTCATCAAATCTGTCGATGCTGAACTTTGACATCTTGAATTGTTTCGGCATCACGTTGTTGCAGGTCCCAGTTGGTTGCTGCTGCAGTTGACGCAGATCCGCCTGTAGGGCGGCTATTTGCTGGCTGATGGTCGCCGGGTGTCGGAAACTGTTCAAATTTCCGACAAGCGCGACTAAGTTATCCAGTCGTTCCTCCAGCTCGCGGATCGGTGGATCCATGCTTGACGATGCCGTGTGCCTGTGCGGCACGCCATCCTTCTCCAGTATGTCGAGGCGGGCGTGGAGGCTATTGAGAGTCTCCTCGTACTCAGTGATGGTACGTGCCTGCCGAGCCAGCTCCACTTGTTGCCAGTTACAAGTGAGGATGACTTGGTGCATCGTGCTGGCGAGAGCTGACTTAGTCTGGTCCTCCGTCCTCCGCAGTTGGTTTCGTCGTTTCCGCCGGATCAACATGCCATGCTTGGAGTGCGACGGTATGAGCGGCGCGGAGGCTCTTGAGAGTCTCCTCGTACTCAGTGATGGTACGTGCCTGCCGAGCCAGCTCCACTTGTTGCCAGTTACAAGTGAGGATGACTTGGTGCATCATGCTGGCGAGAGCTGACTTAGTCTGGTCCTCCGCAGTTGGTTCCGTCGTTTCCGCCGGATCAACATGCCATGCTTGGAGTGTGGCGGTATGAGCGGCTTCCTGCTGCATGAGGACAGACGCGGCATCTCTTCGAGCTTTGTTGTGGTTGGCAGCTGCGTCAGCTTGCTGCCGGCGTCGTTGCTCTTCCGCGTGTGCAATGGCATTGAGGCGTGCCGCTTCGGCTGCCGCCTCACGTTGCTGTTCCTCTTGGACCTGCTGCATGTAGGTGCCCAGGCGGACCAGGAAGGCCGTCATGGTCTCTCCTTGCTGCCGGACTGGTGCAGCGTCGAGGGTTCCCGCAGAAGTCGCAGTGGAACCCTCCTGCTGGGCCTGTGGGGCCGGGGGGTTCGAGCTGCATGCTTCACGTGGACTGTCGGATGGGGCATTGTCCACCGTGGGGTTGCCCTGGGTGTCGATTTCAAAGGGGTGGGCCAGAGGTAGCTGCTGTTCTGCTGCGGCTGCCCGCCCTTCTTGTGCTGCGATGCGGTTGCTGCGTTAGAGCATAAGCTGCAGTTAGTTGTACGGTGTTGAGGATGCGGTACTGCTGACGTGGCCCTGTTGCTGACGTGGCACTATTGTCGTGGCACTGCTGACGTGGCTGCAACTGACGTGGCACTGTAACTGGCACTGCTCACTTACCAAGGCGAGAAAACAGACAGGGGGCTGGGTGGGAGGGAAACACAGGCAAACATCCAAACTGCAATTTCCATGCCAGTCCTAATCAACAGGAAAATAAAAAAATAAAAAATGAAAGAAGCGGATCACCCCTATTTTTTTTTTTTGTATATCTGTCGATCTATTATCAGTGAGGCATTTTTCGGACAATGCTATGAGTGAGATGTAGGCCAGGTAGGGTAGAGGTTCGACTTTCAGCAAAGGAATAAATTCAGTTTTTGAGAATGTGACAACCTCCTATTTGCCTAGCAACGAAATGCTGATAGGCTTCGCAAAATTTCGGTTTTCAGGGGCCAACTTTTTGCGAAGTAGGGTGGAGATTCGATTTTCAGAAAAGGACAAATTCCGTTTCCCCGAATATGACAACCTTCATCGTAACCCTAATATGCCTAGAAAACGAGATGCTCACGTCAGAAATTTTCGGATACTAATATCAAAGAAAACGAAATGTTACTATCAGAAATTTTTGGATATTTGTTTCGTAAAAAAAACGAAGTGCAAATATTGGAACTTTTCCAGATAAAACGAAATGTTATTATCAGAAATTTTCGGATATTTGTTGCGTGAAAACGAAACGCAAATATCAGAAATTTTCAGATAAAACGAAATGCTAATATTAGAGAAAAAGAGGAAAAGAAAGAAAAGAAAGAAAAAAAGATTTGTAGAGATTTTGACGAAACCCTACTCGATTCACTAATCAATCAATCAATCAATCAATCAATCAATCAGTAGATCAAGCAAGCTGGTTACTTGATTGGGCGGATCTTGATGAAAAGGATCGGTTCCGATACTGAACTGTTGCACACCATAACGATGCAGACCAGACCAAGAACCGACCTTTCTCGCCAGATACAAGATAGCACAACGGAAGGCTTGAATACCAATGATCCGATCAATCACGCTGCCATGCAGACCAATCATCCATCATCATCATTCCATGGTGTGAAGGGGGGGACTGACGCGCACATAGGAAGAATGTGTCAGTCCCCTGATCATACATAGACGAAGAAGAGGGGGATTAGCTGAAGGGGAGGCGGAAGATGGAAATGTCGTCAACACCAAGTCTTCGATACAGTCCCAAATAATCCCTCGCCAAAGGTCTGAATCCCGATGCTGAGTCTGAACCCCAATGTGGTCAAATCCAAATGTCGCCCATCTCTCTCTCTCTCTCTCTCCGATACTAACCTGTGAGGTGGCGCCTTGCTGCAGGTACATCGAAGACGAAGCTGGAGCTATGGCGCCGCAGGTGAGTATCCCTGGCCTTCGCCAACCATCTCTTTCTCTCTTTCTCCCACTAGCACCCAGCGCTGAAGACTACTGCTGTTGCTACTCCTTTAGAGTGCCACTGCCGAGTCCTGAAGGCTACCTCCTGCCTTCTGCACGTGAAGTGCCTAGGAACTGCCTGCAGCCTACAAGGCGGGTCAGCATTATATAGTGCTGGCCCGTCCGAGAGGCTGCTCGTGCCTATGCCAGAATGTGCCAGACCCTGGGGTTGACGCTCCGACTAGAAGTTTTACCTTCTCTTCTCTGAGCTTTTCAGTTTGTTTCTCTGAGTTCATTTCCGATGCCCGTGGAGACTCGCAACCAGAAAGAAGAGAGAGAAAGGAGGGAGAGAGAAAAAGAAGAGAGGGAAAGTGACCGTCTGAAGTGGGCAAGGACTAGGAAAAGGAGTGTTCGTCCAAGTGAGAGGGGGAATGAACTTCTTGAGAGTCTAATTGATTATTTTGCTGACTGGCGACTCTCTGAATCACCTGTCAATACTAACGGTCCAAAAATGGCTCAGCTAACTTCAGTGCAATGGCGGGCCTTGTTAGATGCAGCCAATGATGCGGAAAAACCATATCTACAAGCACTCCTAGATAGTGCAACCAAAAGGGAACAGGAGGCGGAGAAGGAGAGGAAGGAGACATTGTTGAATAGGCAGGTGGCCATCCTCGAGACTGTTCCCTCATTGACTGAAGAGCAGTGTGGGGAACAGTTGCAGTCTATACTCACCGCCCTTGTTCAAGTGAGGAATCTTGAAGATCATACCACTCAAATCGCTGAAGTATTTGCAAAGTTGCGAACACTTCAGAATGATCTGACTGATATGACCCGGAAGTACCACGAATTGACGAAGGAGGTGACTGAGCTGCGACAAGCCCAAGTGGCCAACCCTCTTCCTCTACCCCCTGGATCTGAAGCCGCAATTGAAACTACCTCTGCCTCTCTTACTGTATCTTCTTCCTTGAATGTGTTGGGAACCCCATCAGGACCTGCAACAGGTGCAGATTCCGCTGTTGCTGTGACAAGCAGCGAGGCTGGAAATTCTGCGACTGGTGCAGCCCCAAGATTGGAACCAGCAGGAGTCGGTCCCTATGTGGATCGTAAGGCGGTTCAAATACCATCTAAGTACGACGACAAAGAAGACATTGAGTCCTGGATCAACTCCATGAGGGCATATTTCGAGGTTCTGGGGACTCAACCTGAGACCCAGTCCGTGATCATGGGAATGAATGTTGAGCCGGTCGTGAAGGGCTTCTTAGAGGTCAAAGCTGCGCGAGGAACTCCTCATTTCGCAATACTTGGATCCACATGCTGCCGCAAGGGCAAGAATTCAGCTTGACAAAATCAAGCGCAGCAAGTGGACGGGCTCCATGAAAAGCCTGCAGACTTACCTTGGCAAGATGTTTGCTACACCCGGATTGGAACTGACTGCTCAATCTTGCTTGGATGTGGTCAAAGGCGCGGTTCCAACCAACGTTACTAATCGCCTGGGCAAGGACCTCACTGGTTACACTGACTGGTTCACCTTAATGAAGGACATAGTCTGTCTTGAGGCTGTAGACCTCGTCACCACAGCAGGCAACAAAAAGCCCATGGGCGGCAGGCGGTTCAAAGGCAGCAACCGTCTTGCTATGCATGACCTGCTGGAGGGTGATGAAGAAGCCGATGAAGAGGACCCCACTCTTGGTGACGACCAAGAACGGGACGATGATACGACTTGTTCTTCGGCCCATGAGTCTGACGCAAACCACGAAGAAGAAAAATTTAATGCCTTCAAAAAGAGTGCCAATACAAAGGGGCCGAATCGGAGTGCAGGGAAGAACTATGTCCAACTTCCCAAGGGAGTGAAGATCCCACCTAAACCAAAGGATGCGACTACTAAACCTTGGGTCGACCTCCGGATTACTGAAAATGACTGGCGGGGTAGACTCAAAAAGGGGGTATGCCTGCATTGCCAAAAACCAAACCATAAGGTACAAGATTGTTATAGGCTGCAGGGAAACCGGAACCGGGCGTAGAGTCAACTTCAGCAAACTCTACAGCAGGGGAGACTGAATCTGATGCAAATCAGCAGTCCTCCCTTGAAGCCCAATCATCTGCTGAACACAAGGCTGAGGTGAGTAACGTTTTGTATGTCGAGCCTTGGAGTCTGGGAGGGTCGATTTTCACTACCACTTGGAGCATTGGGCTGAGATGAAACAGCAACGTGCCCAGGGGACAGTGAAGTTGATCTTCTTCACCGCTATCTCCGTGTTTTGGTTGACTGTGGTGCTACGGCTAACTTTATGTCTCCTCACGGGATACGCAAAGTGGGCTTGGGGGTGAAGCAAGTTGCCTTGCAGAACCCTTGTCGGACCCAACTTGGCAACAAAGAAGTTGTCTCTTCTACGCATGCAGTCAAGGGTGTGCGCACTACCTTTGACAAGAGCAAAACTGTCAAACAAGCGTTGAACTTCTATGTTCTTGACAAGTGCCCCTTCGACGCTGTCCTTGGCTTGGGCTGGTTGCAGTCCCAATGTGAATGGACCAAGTGGAAGGAGTCACTTTTCATGATCAAAGATGCTCAAGGGAACGAGCTTCCTGTCCTCTTGGATGAGAAGCACGAGTCCCTAGTGATTTTTCTGAATGCTATGAAGTTATGCAAGAAATGGCACAAGCACAAGGAGGAAGAACCGTTGTATGTTGCCTTTGTTCGTCCTGCCCATTTGCCATCTACTTTTGCGGTTAATACCACTACTACTTCGACTAGTGATACTACTTCTAGTTCTACTACTCCCAACACCTCTATTTCTCTACCTCTAATGGTCCAAATGATCCTACTTCAGATTCGGTCATCTCTATACGTGACCTGCGACCAGATCTAGGTGATCCCTTTGTTGATCCCCCACCCCCACCTGTCCCACCAGACATCCAAAACCTCCTCAATCGGTTTCCAGAAGTTCTGGCCGAGCCACATGGAGTCCCCACGCGATCGGTCCGACACACCATCGAGTTGGTTGAAGGTGTTGTTCCTCCAAAGGGCTGCGTATACCGAATGGGACCCGGCGAGTTGGCGAAACTTCGACGACAGATTGATGAAATGATTGACAAGGGGTGGATCAAGCCTAGCGATTCTGAATTTGGTGCTCGTGTGTTGTTTGTTCCAAAGAAAGGGGGCAAACTCCGCATGTGTATTGACTATCGCGGTCTAAACCGCATCACAAGAAAGAATGTCTATCCATTGCCTCGTATAGATGACTTGCTTGATGGCGCAGGTGGGTGCAAGGTCTTCTCCAAGATCGATCTCAAGTCTGGCTACCACCAGATTGAAGTCGATCCTGCGGAGCAGCACAAGACTGTGTTCAAAACACGCGATGGGCTTTACGAGTTTACTGTAATGCCTTTCGGTCTCACGAACGTACCAGCCACCTTCCAAAGCCACATGGACAAGGTCCTCCGTGAACAGATTGGTCGGTTCGTGGTGGTCTACCTCGATGACATACTAATCTTCAGCAAGTTCATTGAGGACCACCTCAAGCACCTTGAGGAAGTACTGACCATCCTCAAGAAAACACAACTCCATCTCAACTTAGAGAAATCTGAGTTTGGAAAGGATAGCGTCATCTATCTTGGGCATCGGTTGTCTGCTGCAGGCCTGGAGCCTGAGGCAACCAAGGTGGAGGTCATACGCAATTGGCCTCACCCCGTGAACATTTGCAAACTGCGTTCTTTTCTTGGCCCCGCGTCATACTATCGGAATTTTGTACCCCACTTCTCTATTGTTGCTCATCCATTGTCGCGGTTGACTAGTAAAAATGTTCCCTATTCTTGTGACGCCGCGTGCACAAATGCCTTCCAAGCTTTAAAGGAAGCCTTGGTAAGTCAACCAGTACTCCACATTGCAGATCCCAAACTGACGTTCGTAGTCACCGCGGATGCGAGCCAGTACGGAATCGGCGCAGTGCTGCAGCAAGACGACGGCGATGGCTTGCGGCCACTCGAATACTATAGCAAACGCATGCCCAGCGTAAAGGTAGCCACTTCCACCTACATGCGCGTGCGCCATGCTTTGCGCATGGCGTTGGACCACTGGAAACACTCTTTTGGGACGCCACTTCAAAGTCTTCTCAGATCATGAGACTCTGAAGTGGATCAAACAGCAAACTACCCTGTCCCCTGCCTTGCTTCCCTGGTTCCATGAGATTGACATTTTCGACTTTGAGTTAAGACACAAAAAGGGCTGTTATAATCGAGTCGCTGACGCATTGTCTCGCCACCCTGAGTACATGACTTGCCTTGTGAAGTCCTACGACCTCCGGAAGAAACTGAAGGAGGAGCTCGTAGAGCAGACAACCAAGGATCTGGAACTTAGTCCCATCCTTGAGCGGCTGAGGGCTGATCCTAGTAGTCAGCCTGATTTTCACAAGTATGGAGGACTGATTTTCCGTCGCTACGGGAACCACGACCGTTTGTGTGTGCCCAACCATGAGCCTCTCCGCACGCACTTTCTGGATCTGGCTCATGGCTGGAGCGGACACTTCGGCATGGCAAAGACGTACGCAAGTCTGTTGCAACAGTTTGATTGGCCTGGCATGAAAGGGACTGCTGAAAAATTTGTGGTTGAGTGTCAAGTCTGTCAACGAATCAAACCATGCAGACAAAAGGCCATGGGGCTACTTGCACCCCTTCCCATTCCCGATGGTCCCGGGGAGTCCGTCTCCGTTGATTTCACCGACACGGGAAAGGTAAGTAAGAACGACTACTCACAAGTCATGGTGATTGTTGACCGATTCTCTAAGTTTCTCAATCTGATCCTTTTGCTGCCGCACGCCCCAACAGAATTAGTGATTCATGAGTTCCAACAAAAGTACATTTTGCAGTTCGAGACCCCGGAGACTCTCGTGAGCGATCGGGACCCGCACTTCATTGGTACTGAATGGAAGGACTTCACGTCTCATCTGGGGATCAGGCTGTGTATGACATCTGGCCGACACTCTGAAGCCAACGGTTTGGCTGAAGAAATCAACTAGACCGTGTTCCAACTTCTCCGCGCTTTGATTATCCCGGATCAGGAAACATGGGATGAAGAGTTGTATTCCGTTAGGGGGTTGTACAACAACTTCATCCATTCTGCCACCGGCATGGCACCTAACAGGCTGCATCTCGGTTGGCAGATCCGTAATCCGCTCTCCTACCTATTCCCTGAGCAGCCAGCTGGCTTAACACTCGGCAGGACTGGCTTCAGGGCCAAGTATGATCGCTTGCTCAAGGTTGCCATTGCAACCATGACCAAGCGACAACATGCCATGATCCATCAAGCGAACAAGGGGCGCCGACTGTCGGACATTCAGGTAGGGAGCTATGTCTGGGTCAAGATGTCTGAATTCTCAGAAGAAGAAGGGGTCTCTCGCAAACTTCTCCCACTCTATTACGGACCGTGGGAAGTTTTGGATGTGATTGGCGAAGACCACTTTGGCCCTTCGTACGTAGTTGATGTGCTCGCCCATCTGCGTACATCAGAGTTCGCAACTGGGATTTTTAGGAATACCTGTAGCTGACCTAACCACACCCTCTTTGAAAAACCAACCACCCATACCCACTATACACCTGGCCTGCCGAACCTTTAACCATCTCCACCTGCTAAAAAAAAAAAAAGGTATACCTAAACCTACCCTACGTGAACCTCTTCAGCATGTAACCGGCCATACCTACCCATGAACAATTTTTTTCAAAACCACCCATGGCCACCTGAAGTTAAACCGTTTGTTAACCACCCATATCCTACTTTACCCAAGTTTCCTTTACCTGTACCCACCTGTACCTACCCATAATTGTATGCACCCACCCGTTATTACCCGTGCTCATCACCCATCCTCCCCTAACCACCCATAACCGCCCCTAACTGTCCCTAACTGCCCCTAATTGTCCTTAACCGCCCCTAACCTCCCCTAACTGCCCCTAATTGTCCTTAACCGCCCTTAACTGTCCCTAACTGTCCCTAACCATCCCTAACTTTTTTTTTTTTTAATCGCCCCTAATTGTCTTTATCCGCCCTCAACTGTCCCCAACCCCATGGACATCACAGGATTGACGTGGTAATTTTTATTATAATTAATATTATTAATTTTTTTATTTTTTTTTGCGATGTGGCATCAGCTGCAGCCACTACCGCAACAGCAACAGTTGTTACATTTGGTCACTCTGATGCTGCTATGGATGCGTCTGGTGCTACACCAGCCTATGCAACATGTATAACATCTGCAAATGCAACAACCCTCAGTCCATCGAACACACATACACTCTCACACACACACACATGCACACATAAATATTACATACACAAGGTTACACACATATAAAAATAGTCTGAAAATATAAAAAAACAAAAAATAAAAAAATGAAGAGATATAAAATTGACCCTTGCGAGGAAAAACGTTTGCTTCATGGGAAAGAGAGAAATTTGGAATACGAGAAAGCGTCATGATTGAGCAAAAATAGAAAGCCTGCAAAGCTACAAGACTCACATCGGGTATACCACGGTTACCCGATAGGAACCTCTACCTGCCCGTACCCCCCCTTTTTTGTTCTTGGCCACCTGTACCTGCCCATACCCGTCTATTCTTTTTTTCTGGCCACACATACCCGTTTCTTTTTTTTTTACCCCTACCCGTACCTGCCCCTACCCACCTATGATCTCCAAAAAGGGTGATTGTGCCCGCCCTAACAACCATCACCTTTCGTTTGTGCCTGCCTATACCCAACTCCCCCTTTAGAAGGGGTACCCATACCAGCCCGTAAGCTGGCGGTTACAACTGGGTAAGGTCGGGTACGGGCAGCGGTTACAACTGGGTAAGGTCGGGTACAGGCAGCGGTTACCCGTTTGCGCTCTCTGGCGCACATACCCCGTGTTTCATGCATCGAAACTGTACCTCCACCGTGATGCTAAAACGTTCGACTATCGCGAGGACATGATCCCTCGTGCGATCAAAGGCGGCGATGAGATAGACAGGATCAAACAGCACGTAGGGAAGGGACGCAACAGACAGTACTAGGTTCACTTCATGTATCACCCATTAGACGATCTGTACTGGATTTCCAAACACGAACTGCTACGCAGTGCACCGCGTGTTGTCAAAGCCTACGAGTGACAAATCGCCACTAACGTTGTACCTAAGATCTTTGCAAGGCTCACTGGAACAAAGTACTCTAGGAACCTCTTTGCCTTGCTCGCTTACGATGCGTTTGTTGAGGACTCATAAAGAGTTACTCGCTCGAAGGGAACTCGATCTTGAGGGGGGAGTATTGTGATGACCCGTCCAAACATGGACTGAAACACAGCTGATTTCTGAGTTTTGCTCATAGACTGAATGCCTTGCTGAGTTTCCCGCCTGCTACTAAGTCTATGTGTGCACGCTTGCTGGACTGCATGTCTGTCTGAGTGCTGGTTGACTTGAGTGTGTGTGTGACCATGCCTATCTGAGTGTTGGTTGGCTTGGGTGTGTGTGACTGTGCCTGTCTGAGTGCTGGTTGGCATGAGTATGTGTGTGGCCCGTTCGGGCACTTGCTCGTTCGTTGGGCCCTCAGGGCCGGTACTTACCTGTGGCCGTGACATTGAGGGGTTGCAGCAGGGAAAAGCACTCAAGTAGCGGGTAGGCCGGTACCGCACCTGGAAGGGGTAGATGTGTAGGTACTGGAGGCCGAGCAGAAGAAGACAAAAGTGGCATTTTTAGAGGCCCAAAAGTGTAGGCTAGGTCTAGGCGGATACCAGTCTGAGTCTAGGGCCTGTACGGGCAATATCAGGGTCTGCAATGATGTTTCCCTCCAAAAAGGAGGAGGTACCGGTTGCTTGGGAGGCCAAGCGGCCTGGAAGTCACCGCCCAAGAGGCAAAGCAGGCCGCTATATCTTCGGGCCGGGCGGAGAGTCTGGCCTCTTTTTCGGTGTGCAAGTTTGGCGACACACTGGTGGAGCGCTGACTGGAGTGGAGCTCTATGCTGGAGTAGCGCTGCTGGGGAGGAAGGAGAAGGACACGAGGGAGGAAGAAGGAAGGGAAAGGAGCGCCAGGGGTACTTACCTGGCTATGGTGGCAGCCATCTTCATCACCTTGGTGGGCGCAGCAGCAGGGAGTCCCCAACTGGGGAGGAGCCACACCAAGAAGCTTCAAGGCAGGGTTCGACATGGCGGCCTGAGCTAGAGCAGCCGTAGCTGCTTTGGGTTGTCCTTTGGGCATCTGGGCAAGGTCTAGTAGTTTGCCATAGCCTCGGCCTATGAGAGTGAAGAGTGGGAGAGACGGCCATGGCTATGGTGGACCTCAAGTGATACCTGAAGTAGAAGAGGAACTCGGACTTTGATTCTGGATCAGCCATTCAACATTGTATTATTATATCTTGTATGAATAAGAGGAGCTCTCCTCTCAAGTTCATTCATTTCCTTTTGCAATCGGACGACATTGTACTTTCTAATGGATGTGTATCACGAAATTGGCTAGGATCATAACACCTTCAAAATTTTATGACGGATTTCGACAGTTCTTGAAGAGCGTCGTCAGAATCCTTCCCCGCCGCCCCCCCCAAAAAAGAGCACAGTCGTGCCGGCAACCGACCGGTTGTACCGGGCCGGATCCAACCTGGCTGGTTGGATCCCTGGTGGTCCAACCGGAATTCCGGTTGGGTCCAGAAGTGGGTCAATTTTTTTTTATTTTTATTTTTTGAAAACATGGTTAGACTGCGCTCGCCGAGATCTCTTTTTTTTTTTTTATGGGACGATGCTCCAATCTATTCGTGGGGAGCAACACGGCTGGGAACCGGGCCCAGCGTCCCTTACCAGAATACAAAAATGAGCTATCGGGGCCATTACCCGGCTTCGGCTAAGAACAATTGAAGAAAAAGGAAAACTCAGAAACATTCAGAAGATGTGTGTCAACAAGCCTCCCAACCATCAATTAGATAGGTTAAGCCTATTCAATCCACCTTTGACCACTGCAAGGAACATGAATGTGGACAAAGCACAGAAATCCAAATTGCAAAATCACACTGAAGTCCAAGTAGTCAAAGCAAGAGCAGGTAGCACAATGGAACCGAGTAACCATCCATTTGAGAACGATACAGAAGAATCGTGAGTCAATGTCCAAGCCCAATCGGGCAACACCAATAGCATAACCCAATATAGCTCTCTCTCTTGAATGGCTCCAGGCGCCCTATCTACTCTACAGCCTAACACT